TTTTCTCCCCACAAGGCCAGGGACCATAGCAAATCCATAATGAGAAAGAGTAGGCCACAGATTGAGGCCGGTCTCTCTCAAGCGATCTCTCCTTGGGATCTCAGTAGCACTGTCCCTAGGATGACATGACAAGGCCTTCACAATTCTTCCAACCAGTCCTCGGGGGTCATCTTGGGATGTGGAGAACCTGTGGGACACAGGCAAATTGAGGCATAGGAGTGTGGTCAAAGAGATGCGTGCATCCTTCCGTGAAATAAACCCACAGGCAAAATGACCTGTTTAGCTCAGCACGGTCAGCCTAGAAGCCAGAGGCCTGGATGGCCTGCTTTTCAGGAGAGGCTCAGGGCAGAGAGCCAAAAGCTCATGCCCATTTTTCCTGGGTCAGGGATGGGGCGGCACGTTCCATGCATTTCAATCTCCAAACGGGCATCGCACATCAGTCTCCCACAGCACCTGGGAGTCATCGTGATGTGGAGGAGTTGGGAAAAACCCAGAGCTGCTGGCAAACATGAGTCACCCTGCTCTGGACTTCAGTGGACATGGTGGCCCAGCCTCAGATGTGCCAGGGATACCAGAGCTCATAGTCCTAAAGCGCCACTTTCCTCAAGGAAATTTCCACATATTTTAGCACTGTTGATGAAACGGCTGGTGCTTCTGTGCAATCTTGTGCTGCTGCTGCCTTCCAAGGCATTGCCTTTTGGTGGCTGCTCAAGGGCCCATGAGACTCAGTGTCCCCCAGAGTAATGACGGTTGGAAAGAACCACTGGAAGCCCTTTGCTCTGGTCCGCTGCTCCAAGCGAACCAAACTTCTCAGCTACCTCAGCAGGCTCCGTGCCTTGTCCCACTGACTTAAGAATACTGTCACTGGTGGAGAGGTCACTATGTCTTGGGCAGCTCTTCCAGGGACACTCTGCACCCCCTGTCCCTTCGTTTCACAGAAGGGCAGCTGGCATTAGCCCCGTTGCAACTTGTGAGTAATGTGGGTCTTGCTGGTCAGTCAAGTTGTGTTGTACCTGAACATTTGAAAGGTGTAAGTACTCCCTGCAAAACTAAATTCCGGGTGCCCCTACTTTTGCCGGGACACCTCGTGCACATGCCTGCATATGTGCTCTTGTAATTCTATACTTTGAGTCCCAGGCTCTCTCCTCCGTCAGCACAGGCCACTTGCGAATTCTTGTGACACAGGACTCTACTATTTCTTAGCTAAAATCTGCCTTGTGCAGCTAGTGGGTTGGGTGGTGGGTGATTGCTTTGGTCAATCCCTATGCCCACTGGCCCAGACTGGGTCGTATCCCATATTTCCCACAGCAAATCCCTCACCTCCACATCACTGATCACTTGGAGTGATGGCTGTCAGTAGTAGAGGGAGTACTTTTACCCCAGATAAGGCAGACCGGGTGTTCTGCCCTCCACTTCGGTCCAAATAGGCCCCTTGGCCTCAACTGTCCCTGGCAGACAGCCAGGTGTACCATTTCCCTTGAAGGCAGTGCCCTCTCCCTGTGATGTGGTCTGTTGTGAGTGGCTGGAAGGACCTGCCACCCCTCCCCATATCCCTGCAAGTACATCTGACAAGGAAGGACTTTCCCCTGCACACACGGGGGCTGCCATTTCCTTTCAGCTGCCATTTTGTGGCAGGGAGATGCCATTTTCTTATTCCACATCATAACCAAGATGTTTTCATACTGCTCTGTGAGAGTTTAACAGCAAGTTCTTGGCCCCGCTATGCCCACCACCTTCTCTCAGGAAGACCTGTGATTGGCTGATAGGACCGGCCAACCCTACCCATATGCCAAGAAGCACATCAGGCAAGGAAGCCCCTCATGGAATTGGCAGCTATTGACAGTGGAATACCCAGTGACTGAGAGTCAGTTTAGGGGGTGTCTTCAGGTCACTGTCCTAGACAGTGTGCATTCCGCTAAGAAAGTTGCATTAGCAGTGCTGTAGTCAAGGGGGTTTCAAGTTCCTCAGCTGCAGCGTGGTCCTTGCAGGCAGCCCAAAGCAGGACTGCACCCCGTAGTTGGCAGGATTCAAACTTGTGCAGGAAAACCCAATGGATTTCTAGTCCATCGTCTTCACCACTCGGCCACAACTACCTGCCGCAGCCCTCTCTGCCCTGCTGAGCACATGCTCTGTGCAGTGACACCCGCCTCCCCAGGATTTTTTCATCCACGCTTCACTAGAAGTCCCGTGGTTCACACCTGCACGGAGCATGGGAGGTACCAGCTTTCCAGAAGCCTTTGGAGGTTTAACCACAGGGACGGTGGCTGTAGATCCCAGCGCCTTGTCCTCAGCTGGGCATCTAGGATGTCCTGACATGGGGTGGATGGGTTCACTCTCCAGCTGGCATCCCTGCTGCTTCCAGGGAAGAAGGGAAGGCAGCTCTGTAGCTATAACCAAGCACATTAGTAAATGTGGAGTGGGCTATTAACCCCTACCTTTGATTACAAAATTATCTGAGAGACACTCCAATCCTGCAGTGAGCAGTACGGTTGGAGCACTAGTTAGGGGAAAATGGCGATCTCCCAGCAGCACCTCCAAAAAGGTGTGAAGAAAGGTATGGTGAGAGTAAATGTGAGGTGTGGATGACTTGTAGGCAGATAGGAGAGAGCTTGCTTTGGTGTAATAGGCATGTCCAGTTTTATTGTTTTTGGTTTTGTTTTGTTTTGTTTTCCCTGCCCCGGCATGTGAAACAAAAAGGGGCCCAAACAATAAGCCTCAAACCAAAGTTGACTTCTGAGTGAATTCCCCGACCAGCAATCAGCATCTTATCAGCAGACTGAAGCAACCGGCATCTTATCAGCATGAAAATGTAACCCTGGGAACAATCCCTGGGAACTATAAGTAAACAATAGGAAGTAACTATAAATCCCAAATGTAAAGAAAAACAGAAACTCCTCAGACATGCCCAGATCCTGGCCAGATCCGGACATGCCTGAGTGAGGCATATCAATCTACCAGATATCTCCTGTGCGTTTTGTTTAGACTTGTTTGTTAAACTGTATAAAAGCTGGACCCTCTCACAGCAAAGACGGAGACCTCACCTACGAGTGGACGCACTGCGTAGGACTTCCCAATTGCCGGGAAAGGCTTTCCGACCCTTCGCCGTGAGGGGGCTCCTCTACTGATGCACGGATCTGGATGATGGTAAAGTATGAGGGCAATTGGTGATGTATCTTTCTTAATCACTGTAGCTAGCTTTAAATAGTAATGTCTAGGTGCATTACCTTGCTTATTCTTTCTGCTATTTTAAACTAAAGTAAAATAAGCCTATTTCTTTAGCTTGGTGTCTGCGTCCTTTGTGTTAACCCCGTCAATTGGCAAAACAGCATGCATTGCCATATTCCTGAGCATGGACCAAAATTTTAAACATCCACAAAACAATATTTTCCAGCATTAGATGAAAGTAGCCCCTATGGCCTTTTGGCTGTGGAGCAGGGATATTTGGAAAGTGGTTGTAAGGACTTTGTGTGGAGATGGTACTTGTGGCAGTGCCTCTCTGCATGCAGAGCAAGGACGAGAGGTGGTTGCAGTCAAGAGGGGAACGTGAGGAGCATCTTGAGGAACTGTGTGTGCTGAGGGCTGAAATAGGGATGCGGCCAGTCTGTGAAGTGGAGGAGCAGGAGGCCGTCCAGGCTCTGACCTGGAGGAGCAGGAGGAACCAGTGCCCCCAGGAGTGTTGCTGGAATAGTGGTGAGCATGGCTGCCTTCCAAGCAGTTGACCTGGCTTTGATTCCTGGCCAATACTGGCAAATGTCTCTCCAGCCTGGCTCCAGCACAGGTGCCTGAACATATTCTGCACACAAGCTCTTTTGCTCAAATACCACCCATCTTTCCCCTGGGGTTTCAAGCCACTCCCCGTCTTCCCTGCAGCCTTGAGGCCCGCTGAGACCAGTGCTCTCTAGTCTCTGCTGGCTGGGAGAGCTTCAAGCTGGGCTCCTCACGACAGAGCTGGTACAGGAGCCAGGAGAGAGGCTTTTCTGGCCTGACACAGAGCTGGTCCTGCTGCTGCTGTGGCTGCTTGCACCTGGCAGGGTGCAGATGAAGATCAGTAATTCCTAGGTGATGGCCACGGGACAGACCGTGCTTCATGAGGCCAGGTATGCGATTTGGCTGGCTGGTGGAAGCAAAACTCCTCTTTACGTTATGGCTCAAAGGCCCGTCTGTCTGTCTGAACTCACCCTGGGGACACTGACCTACCCTGTCCAGGCTCTGACATTGCACATACATCCTGAATTTTACTGGGATTGGGTGTAACAATGATCCTGGTGACAGAGAAATAATACACTCTTCTCTTGCAGCTTGTGGCCTGTGGACCAAGAGAAAAGCAAGAGCCTCTCTCAGCTAGACTCTACTGGAAGGGAGTGAAGCTTCCCAACTCTCTGATTACAGGGTTTCTTAAAGAAACAAGCCACCTTCCTTGCTGTGCTGATAGCCAGAAACCATTCTGGATGGTGGGCCTCTATGGACGGTTTGTGTTAGCACAGTATTGCCAGACTCCCACTCTGTCAGGAGCAGTGCTACAAATTTCTGGAATTATGAAGAGGGGCATCGTGAATGTCTATATTCATTCTCTGCTGAAATGCCACACGAACCCTATCTGGCAGTCAAACTGCCTCCGTCTGGAGATCACAACCAGTGCTTTCCTCCTTTCCACTCCATACCCATCCCCTGGAGTTTATTCCCACACCAAAATAGTAAAAGAGAGAATTGCCAGGTCTGTTTTTCATACGATTTTGTGAACAACAATTGAGAGAACTGAAATGCTATTTCAAAATATACGTATTAAATTTTACAATGGAGAATTCCGCAAATGACCCCCAGGGCCATAATCACCAGGTTACAGGCCCATATTCAATACCTACGAGGCTTTTTGGTGCTCTGCAATGAGTCCAGGGAACTTAACCAACAACCACTGTTAAGCTCAGGACAGAAGCCATTGCCTATCCTTGCAGAGAAGATGCTTAGCTGGGAGAGAAGAACAAACTGCCACGACTCTCTACTCTGCTGCACAAAGGCTTTAATGAGAAGGGGGGAAATGCAGTGGCACAGAACAGAGACCAAGGAAAACATCTGCAGGATTGAGGGACGCACAGAGGATGGCCCGTTCCCCAAGGACAAGCTGCATACAAAGCGCTTGCCTTTTCCCATTCTGCTCACCCTGGTGGCAATGGCAGCCCAGCAAGAGTGGTCCCTAAATCCAGCACCCTCTCCCTTTCAGCAGGGGGTTCAGCAAAGCAGAAGAAAAGGAGCCCTTTCCGGAGGGCTCAGAGCAAAGAAGAGCCAGAGGAGACACGGCCACACCAGCTGTGCAGCGAGGAGAAGTGGGCACAGGTCCCTCCTGCCAGGTGGCATGAGGACACCAAGCCTGTCTGCAAGACATGTCCATGACCTGCTGCTGCAGGGTCCTATCTTCCGTCCTGCTCCCGAAGGGATGATTCGCCAGCTTCAGCAGTTCAGACTGCAGCGGGGGACAGGCAGACACATCCCGGACCCGCCCAGACCAAGGGAGCCCCCAGAAGAGATGGGAACTCCACTGGCACTGAGGGAGCTCCCAACAGCAGCTGACAGAGACGATCCCACGGCCGTGCTCTGAGGGAAAGAGTTGAGGATGGGGCCCGGCAGGGTCACCACCACCGGCGAGGGCTCGATGAACACCGTCGAGTCAGCGCAGCGGGCAACACAGGGCTCACTGCAGCTGCTTGCAAGTGGGGTTGGGCCAGAGGCACAGCAGGGCCGTGGGGGACAGGGTCTGAAGCAAGACATCTCTCTGTGAAGGAAGCAAAGCTGCAACACAGAGCAGGAAGGAAACACAGACCAAAACATCAACTTGGCTCTCATGTCCACAGCTCTCTCTGAAGATACACTTGGCTGCTCTCCATCTCCATTTCTAGCTGCAGGTGCAGGAAATGCCTGCACCTGATCTTTCTAACACACACAACGTGCGTGACGTATTCCCCTAAGTTGGATTTGAAGCACTGGGAGCAAAGATGTGCCTAACTGGCTGCTGATTGCACCAGGACCTCCTACTGCATTTCCCAGTGCAATAGCACAGATGAAGATTGATGCAAGTATCCCAGCACAAATGGGCTGCGTTGAATGGGTGTCTCAGAAATCACCTCTTAAACACACATAGTCTTCTTACAGCTCGTAATGCACTCCTCTGAGTAGCACAGTGCAGGAACATTGACCCACTTTGCGATAGGACCAAGCCCAGTGGGTTTAAAGCACCTGATCATACCCCGTCTCCAGAACAACTGTTGTTGCATTGATGAAGCACTTGGCCATTTGGTTAGAGAGCATCTGCTGCAGGCATAAGTTCTGGTGAGGCAGACACCACTAAAGCTGAGCCCCATTGATACCCTTCTGCTTGAAAGAACACCCTCTACCCAGCTCTCCGCAGTCACATCCATTAAAAGGGACAGAGGTGACAGCCCTTCAACAGTTCAATTGCAGGGCCAAGCTGAGGCCACAGAAATATAAACCTGAGATGCCACCATAGCATCAATTCTGCGTACAGAGAGAGACATGGAGTAGACCCAGACTTACCTCGTTCCTCGAGGAAAGGGAAGCAAGAGAGGAGGATGCAGGTCCTGGAGCAGCGCAGGCTTTTATGCTGTGTCCCAGAGCCCTGTGGGGCCACGAACATTCCTTGCTCATGAAGCATCTGAACACCTAGGAGTTTCCGCTTCCCAAGGCTTCCCTGGTGATTAAGCCCTCGCTTCTTACAACCCACATATTGTCCTCCTTTTCATACCATCGTACATCAAAATCATTCATCTGTATCCCAGGTTTATAAAGTCAATTAACTCCGAGTTCTTACGCAGGACAGACAGATATTTTTAGTTGATTTGCCTCATACAAATCCCTTTGGTCTCATTGCCCTCTTCATTGTTAACTTGTCCACGTGTCATGGTGAAATTCAACCATACAGGGCACCTCAAGTCTTCTCTCAAATGTTTTCTTTGCAGGCACTCAGTCTAAAACCAGAGGGACAATTCTCTTCTTGGGTGATCGTAGACACACAGGACGCAATGGGTAATTTCAGGCAGAAGTTCAAGACTGCACAATCCCATATGGGAGGAGAGACGCACGACTCCAGGGACGTGGCAAAGCTCAATGGAAAGGAAAGACCACTGTGAGGTGGAGGGAAGCCCCCTGTGGGCAGGGGTGATGATGGCCACAGGGACCTTGTTTACGCTCATCAGGCTCTACCACAGACTGGTTTTGTGATCAAAACTTGCCCGCATCCTTCCCTGAAGGAGACCCACACCCAAATTGACCCGTTTGGCTCTGTAAGGTCATCCCAGAGGATGGAGGTGTGGCTTGCCTGATTAGGAGGAGAGGTGAACGGCAGGGAATGAAAACCTCATGGCCCTTTTTCCTGATTCAGAGAGGGGGTGGCCAATGCCATGCATTTCACGCTACAAAGACACATCGGATCTGTCTCAGAGCACCTGGGAGTCTTCATGATGTGGAAGAGTTGGGAAAAACCCAGAGCTGCTGGCCAGCGTGACTCACCCTGCTGTGGACGTCAGTGGACACGGTCGCCCAGCCTCAGTTGTGCCAGTGATACCAGACCTCATAGTCCCAATTTGCGGCTTTCTGTAAGGAAAAGCACATTTTAGCACCATTCCTGAATCAACTGGTGCTTCTGTGCAAACTCGTGCAGCTTCTGCCTTCTAAGGCATTGCCTGCCAGTGGCTGCTCAGGGACCCACGAGAGTGAGTGCAGCCCAGAATGATGTGGGATGGATGGTTCTTCTGGAATGGCTCTGGGACAACCTCCTGCTCTGAGCAGACCAAGCTTAATGTTAAGTTAATCAAGGGATATGGCGATGGAGATCCCATGGAGACATTACCTGAAAGAGACCTGCCTGATCCTCTGGTCTGCTCCCTGTTGTTACAAATGTGCCTTCATTCCCTGGACATGTGGTCATAAAAAACAGGCTGTGGCAGAGCTGTTTGAGCGTGAGGAAGATCCTCATGGCCCTCAATCCTACATGCAATGGGCTTTGCTCCAGCCCACAATGATCCATTCTTGTCATTGAGCTTTTCCATATCCCTGAGGTGGTGAGTCTCTTCTCTTGTATAGGATTGGGTAGTCTTGATCTTCCACCTCAACTTCTCAAGTCTCTACTGTGTGTCTACTATGACGCTTGGGCAGATGTCTCTTAGGGTTCGCTTGAGTGCCAGCACTGAAAACACTTCAGAGATAACTCGAGGTGTCCATCTTCGTAGCTGATTTTCAGCATGATTGGTGGACAAGCTCACCATGAAGAGGGCAAAGTGACAAAGGCAATCCGTATGACACAACCTCACCTAAAATCTTCCTCCAGGCTTCCCCGAGACCTTGGAGTTGATTGCCCTTATGAATCTGGGATACAGAGATTCAGATGGATCATTTCAATATTAGGAAACTTCACACTCACCAGGCCCTGATCTGATAGGAGAACTCAACCTCCAGGACATCTGCTGGCGAAGCGGCACAGCGAACTACAAGCAACCCAGGGAACTACTGGAGTGTGTTGAGGACAACGTCCAAGTACATGTGACGCAGAGCCTGACCAGAGGAGAGGCACTGGTGGACGTGTTGTTTACTAGAGTGCAAGAGCAATCAGAGAGGTCAAGATTGGAGGTAGCCTGGGCTGCAGCAGTCACGCCCTGGTGGATTTCTCAGTTTTGAGGAGTGCAGGACAGGTAATAAGTAGAGTCAGGAACCTAAACCTCAGAAAGGCAAGCGGTTGCCCGTTTAGGACACTAGTGCATGGGATCCCTTGGGAAACTACCCTCAGAGGTATAGGAGCAAACCAGAGCTGGGAGATAATGAAAGACATTTTTCTGAGGGAGCAAGAGCTCTCAATCCCGACATGCAAGTTGTCGGGCAGGGAAGGCAGGAGGCCACTTGGTAACATCAAGACCTCTCAGAAAAATAAAACACAAAACCAAAAGGAATAGGCAGCAGAGGCAGGGATAGACATTGTGGGGAGATTATAGGCAAATGGCCTTGAAGTGCAAGGAGGATATCGGGAAGTCCAAGGAATTTCTGGAGCTGAACTTGGCTAGGGGTATGAAAAGTAACAAGAAGAGTTTCTTCAGGTACATAGAACAAAGGAAGAGGAAAGAACCTGTACCTCGTCAATGAGTGAAATGGTGAGACACTGAAACAGGATGTCCAGCGCAGTTGTGGATGCCCCCTCCCTGGAAGTGATTAATGCCAAATTAGATGAAGCTTTGAGTAACCTGGTCCAGTGGAAGGTGTCCCTGCCCATGGTAGGAGAGTCAGAATTACATGTTCTGAAAGGTCCCTTCCAGCCCAAAGTGTTCCATAACGCGCTCTTTGATGCTAGTTGGAATCAAAGTCAGAGAAAAGAATTTCAGATGAAAGAGCTAAAGGTTTAATCACCAGCAAGGTCTTCCCAAGTGGCAGCTGCTATGTGTTTACATGCCTCATGAGCAAGGAATGTTTGTGGCCCCACAGGGCTCTGGGACACAGCATAAAAGCCTGCGCTGCTTCAGGCTCTGCATCCTCCTCTCTTGCTTCCCTTTCCTGAAGGAACGAGGTAAGTCTGGGTCTGCTTCGTGTCTCTCTCTGTAGGCAGAATTGCTGCCATGGTGGCGTCTCACGTTGGTATTTCTCTGCCGCAGCTTGAATGGTTGAAGGGCTGTCGCCTCTGTCCCTTTTGCTCGAAGTGGATGCGGAGAAATGGGAAGAGGGTGTTCTTTCAAGCAGAAGGGTATCAATGGGGCTCAGCTTTAGTGGTGTCTGCCTCACCAGAACTTATGCCTGCAGCAGATGTTCTCTAACCAAATGGCCAAGTGCTTCATCAATGCAACAACAGTTGTTCTGGAGACGGGGTATGATCAGGTGCTTTAAACCCACTGGGCTTGGTCCTATCGCAAAGTGGGTCAATGTTCCTGCACTGTGCTACTCAGAGGAGTGCATTACGAGCTGTAAGAAGACTATGTGTGTTTAAGAGGTGATTTCTGAGACACCCATTCAACGCAGCCCATTTGTGCTGGGATACTTGCATCAATCTTCATCTGTGCTATTGTACTGGGAAATGCAGTAGGAGGTCCTGGTGCAATCAGCAGCCAGTTAGGCACATCTTTGCTCCCAGTGTTTCAAATCCAACTTAGGGGAATACGTCATGCACGTTGTGTGTGTTAGAGAGATCAGGTGCAGGCATTTCCTGCACCTGCAGCTGGAAATGGAGGTGGAGAGCAGCAAAGTGTATCTGCAGAGAGAGCTGTGGACATGAGAGCCAAGTTGATGTTTTGGTCTGTGTTTCCTTCCTGCTCTGTGTTGCAGCTTTGCTTCCTTCACCGAGAGATGTCTTGCTTCAGACCCTGTCCCCCACGGCCCTGCTGTGCCTCTGGCCCAACCCCACTTGCAAGCAGCTGCAGTGAGCCCTGTGTTGCCCGCTGCGCTGACTCGACGGTGTTCATCGAGCCCTCGCCGGTGGTGGTGACCCTGCCGGGCCCCATCCTCAACTCTTTCCCTCAGAGCACAGCCGTGGGATCGTCTCTGTCAGCTGCTGTTGGGAGCTCCCTCAGTGCCAGTGGAGTTCCCATCTCTTCTGGGGGCTCCCTTGGTCTGGGCGGGTCCGGGATGTGTCTGCCTGTCCCCCGCTGCAGTCTGAACTGCTGAAGCTGGCGGCTCATCCCCTCGGGAGCAGTAGGATGGAAGACGGGACCCTGCAGCAGCAGGTCATGGACATGTCTTGCAGGCAGGCTGGGTGTCCTCATGCCACCTGGCAGGAGTGACCTGTGTCCACTTCTCCTCGCTGCACGGCTGGCGTGGCCATGTCTCCTCTAGCTCTTCTTTTCTCTGAGCCCTCCAGAAAGGGCTCGTTCTCTTCTGCTTTGCTGAACCCCCTGCTGAAGGGGAGAGGGTGCTGGAGTTAGGGACCGCTCTTGGTGGGCTGCCATTGCCACCAGGGTGAGCAGAATGGGAAAAGGAAAGCACTTTGTGTGCAGTTTGTCCTTAGGATACTGGCCATACTGTGTGCATTCCTCAACACTGCAGATGTGTTTCTTGGTCTCTATTCTGTGCCACTGCATTTCCTCCTTCTCATTAAAGACTTTGTGCAGCATAGCTGGAGGCTAATGTCGTGGTTTTTTTTTCTGCTCCTTCCCCGTTTTGCCAAGTCCTCTGCAAGTGAAAGGGAGAACCTTTTCTGTGCTGTGACGTTGAGTCTGTCGCCAATCTTGGGGCACCCACAGTTGTGGGTGGAGCTCCCTGATCTTGTATGAGAGCACCGAAAATATTGAAGAAGGAAAAAGAGAGACAGCAAAGGGTTAGTGGAATGGAGAGATCAAGAAGTAATGGACAGGATTTGAAGTACAAGTAGTGCCTCACACAGGAGCCCTGTCTTACCGTGAGGCTGGTCAAACATGGGAAACAGTTTCCCAGGGAGTACTGTAGAGTGTCCATCTTTCGATATGTCCAATATATGACCAGAGAAGTCCTGGAAGAGCCTCCTCTACTTGTGCCTGCTTTGAGCTGGGCTTCGTCTGCATGTTCTCCACCC